TTTTTTTTTTTTTAAGTCCATCTGCGGTTAGTGGAATATTAGAATAATAGGGTAGCAGAACTGAAATGGACCTTAGAGATCATCTCCTCCAGTCTGCTCATTTTAGAGTCGAGAAAAAGGAGGCTCAGAGATGGGTAGCCACTTTCCTATGGCCACACAGCTAGTTGGTGACCAACCTGAGTCCAGAACCAGTCTACTGACTCCCAATCATGCGTCTTGCAACTATAAAGGTGAAATCTTCCTGACCCACAACACTAGTCTTGTGATGAGAACTTAGTCTCATTTGTATAGGCAAGAGTATAACCAATGTTGTGCTGGTAAGTCAGCTCTTTCTCTCTCTCTCAAAGAAAGCTTGATTTGTAGTGTTGGCCAGTTTCCATCGTATAAATACTCTCACCATGGCCTTATATCAACATGATGTCAACTGGCTCACAGAATTCCAGAAAATGTAATAATAAGCTCTGGGAGCCAGTATAGGCTGGTTCCAGCACACCATTAATTCTCTCCATTATCATTCTTTATTACTAGGTACTATACAAAAGAAGATGGGACTTTCTGGAGGTCAAAAGTCAGAGACACAGGAGCAAACTGAGATTGGCCCAACCCAGGTCTAAGGTGAGAAACAGGAGAACCATGCTGAAAAGTAGCTTATAAAAGGAAAATAGCCATCCCAAAGCAGAAACGAAGGCGAGGCCAGGCATACCTCAAAGATCTCAAAGCCGGCAATGTCTAGCACCCCGATGAAGAACTGCCTCTGCATCTTGGTGTCCAAGGTCTTGTTGATCCTGACCACCAGCCACTTGAACATCTTGTCATAGACAGCCTTGCCCAGAGCCCCGATGGAGTTGTTGCACTGTTCCATGTTCTGACCCTTTTGCACAAACTCGTTGCCTACTTTAACCCGGGGCCTGGTGATGCCCTTCTGGAGTTCCCCGGAATTGAGACCCATGAGATGGGCGACTTTGTCAGCCACTAAGCAGGGATGGAAAAAGCCGGTGAATATAAGAAAGACAAAATCTAGCACAGCCTATTATGGTGGGGGAAGGGGTAAGGGGAGGACAGAGGAGACCACATGTTGCCAGTGAGAAAACAGAAATCTGAGATGGTTTCCACACTCAGTCAAGGTCAAGTGGCAAAGCAGAGTATAGAAACCCAAATCATCTCTAACTCTCGGTCATGCCTCTCTGAGAGTATTGACGTCTGGGCATCCAAAGAATATTCTTGGTTTATGTCACGTATCTAAAATGTGCATGAAGCTCTGGAGAGCACGGAACTCCTGCCACTGGCTACCTCCTCCCTGAATGGCCCCAGCCCAACACCTACCCTCGGTGGTATCCACTTCAGCTTGTTCCTCTCTGGGCTTCTGCTTGAACTTCATGTTGCCAAAGTGCATGATGCCCCCAGTCAGCTTGTAAACACCAATCTTCTCCTCAGCACTGAAACCTAGTACGTCAAAGGCATCCTACAAGGCCACAGGGAGGAGAAAGCAGAGAACCTCCTGGCTTTTCATTCCAGAGTGGAGGTCACATCACTGCCACTGTGGGGGTGGCACCAATGAGCCACAGCAGCATGGTGTGAACTCGGGATATCAGACACATCCTGAACAGGGAGGTATGTTTTTCTCCAAGGAGCCCAGACCAGATGCTCTGCAATATAGTCATTATATTTGTTTAACCTCTCTGGCCTCCATTTAGCCATCTTGAAAATGGGGATAGTAGGAAGTCATAGGATAAATCAGAATGATCTATAAATGTTTAGTATTGCACTTGACACATAAAAATAAGTGGGAAGTAGAATTATTATTACCATCATTATTATTGCTAAGGCTTCATGCTAGGTATTAGGAGAAGGGAAGGCAAAGATGCATCAGGAATCAATTGTGTTGTCAAAGATGAGAGATTATACAAATACTTCTAGCAGAAGTCACAGGTGCTCAGTGCTACAAGAGCAGAAGAAAGAGAGGGTACAGTAGACATGTTTGGCTGGACTGGAAAGGCAAAACAAATACATGGAAGACATGGCCCCCTTAAGTTTCTTTGGAATTCTAGTTTACCTCTGCAAAGACAAACTCTGCTTGCTATGATGGCTTGGAAGAAATGCCACCTGCAACCAACAAGTTCAGGCTTCTTGTTAGAGAGGATTCTTGAGAGGAGAATCTGGGCTGCTGCCTGACAGTTGGAGAATCTGATCCCGCCTCAATTCTGATGGCAGTGTATGCAGGGTCCTAAAGTTTCCATCTTGGCTCTCCTGTCTTTTGCCAGCCATGCCCACCCACTTACGTCTGTGATCTGCAGCTCCTCCTTGTCGTCCATGTTATCCACCATGGTGACACCTTGGCTCACCCAGTGATATTCCTTAGGGTTGGGGACCAGCAGCAAACTCTCTGCCAAGAGCAGGAGAGTGGGTTAACAGGTTGGTGACACGTGTCTTGTTTCATTTCTAACCAATATCTCTAAATGCCTCTCATGTGCCAAATGTGATGGTGGGCACCGTCACACAGAGCTGAATAAGACATGATTCTTTCCCTCTGTGGTCACCCAGAGTTATGGAGGGACTTAAACAGTGTCACACAAGAAGCTTTAGAGTGGCAGGAGTGTCTTAGGGACTTGGTTGTGTCTTCTGTCACTTGGCCTAGTACGTGGTACCTAGTAGGCACCTAACAGATATTTTAGGAATAAATGAATTAAAACCTTTCTCCTTCCTCTCTCCTATAAAGAGCAGACCAGACTCTAAGGCAAGAGGTAACAAATGATTGCAGTGGGCAATAATAATCACTTGCATATAATATGCATGAGACATCGTCACTTTTACAAAGAAATATGCTCACTTTTATTTTTCTTCGAATGTGTGTCTCTCTTGGTCTATCTTTGTTTTTTCACTTTTGGAAGAGACATGGATGGGTATAAGAAGTACTTTGCTTTCCTTTTATCTCTACTGTTGAGGAAAGCTACATCTCAAGAAGAAAGATAAATAGAAGCTGCCACTCTGCTACAGAGAGGCAATAGGGCTTGGTGGGGAGTGTGGTAAACAGGAGAGCCTGAGTTTCATCCAAAGGGGCCACCACCACTTAGCTGGTCTGATTAGTGCCATATGGGAGAGCAGGCTCAAAGCTACCAGATCTTCTGCTACTCTAGAGAAACCAGGAAATTGGGTTTCTATGTGAAATCTCCCAATTTCAGAAAGCCATCCATTAATTAATTTGTTTACTGTGTCAAACAAATAAAGCCCGCCTATGAGTGGGTTCAGTGTCCAATGCCCTAGTCTGGGTTAAGGAGGTGTGTATATGGAAGATTGACTCTTCATCCCTCCCCTCACCTTACATCCTGAGCAGGTCTTCCATAGACAGTTAAGCATGTTGGTGCCCGCACAAGGGCATCCAGCTGAGTGAATGTGTGCACTTTGCTTGCCGAGCTGTACCCTCAGTGTGAGCTGTGCCCCCCAGAGAAGCCTGTTGTCATTTCACACACAAGCACTGGCAGAGCTAACTGTGGTCCTGGGCTAACCCCTCTGCTGCTGTCTGAGCCCAGAGGCAGCATGTCCAAGACAGTGGAGAAAGGATTCTAAAGTCCCATATCCCAGGTCTATGTATTAGCCATGAGTTGCAGGCATCCCAAAGCCCATCTGTGAAATAGGCCAACAATGGTATTAAGCCTCATAAGGCTGTTGTGAAGATGAGATGTTATTAGAATTTAGAAAAAGTTCCCAAAACCTACTTGCGTAACTCTAAACTAAAGGGATTCATGCAGAATCACAGGGATGACACCAGACCTTCCATACATGTGAATTCTTTCATTATTGAAGAAAGAGGAAAAGCAAGGTAAGGGGCAGGCAGACAGACATAAAGATCTTTACCAACAAGTTCAGGCTTCTTGTTAGAGAGAATCTGGTAGAAAATGTGGTAACTTCTCTCGGCTGCTTGCTGTGAGATGACACGAGATTTCTCTAAGAGATCTGGAAAAGAATAAGCAAAAATGCCTGTAAGTTCAGCCGGTTCTGCCTGAAGTGCAGGGTTCCACAGAAAGCAAGGCTCCTCTGTCCTTAAAGCCCAGTGCCATAGTCAGTCATGGGTTCATTCTACCCTCTCCCCAGGACACACAGTTTCAGGGGGCCTGACTGTTGATGGAGGGGAAACAAGCTGGGCATGAGACAGGGCTACATTCAGAAGGGCTCCACGCTTGGCTTAATGTTCCTCTGTTGCTGTTTTGAAATTCTTCATACTCTTTGAACAAAAGATCCCTCATTTTTATTTTTCACTGGGCCTCACACATCGTGGAGGTGGCCCTGCCTGGAAGAACCCTCCAAAAGGGTCTGACTCACAGCTCTCGATGTCAGCTCCAGCCAGTTTGCCTGCAGTTCCGAAGTGGATCCGGATGAACTTGCCCTAAGCAGGGAGGAGAGGGGAGGGTTGTGAGAAAGGACACACAGTTCTAGTTCTAGAGCAACACGGGGCCCAGGTTTGACAGAGGTCACTGATTGACAGTTCCCTGAATTCAAAGGGCTCTTAGGGTATGTAATGGGGCCAGATGTTGCTGTATGCAGAGTTGTGGGTGTCCCGTGCAGGTCAGAGGTCAATCTAGGGTCTGTGGCATAGCCTATAGGATTGTGGAGCGAGTCTGCAGCTTCCGGCCATTGCAAATATCTGGCTCCCCTGTCTGACGTCTCAGCCCCTCTCACTATGTTCCTATGTTTCTGTATTCAAACTTCTTGGTTTAAATACTGACTTGGGCTCTGTTTGATATAGACCCTGATTGATAAAAATCTCTGGAAAGGAGTTACCATGACTGGCCTAATTCCATTGACATGTTTAAATCAGGCCCAATTTCCTTACCTGGAATGGGGTGAGGATACTTGTCCTGCCACCCCCAGGGCCAACCGTTGCCACTGCTCACACTTACAAAGCGAGAGGAATTGTTGTTCCTGGTGGTCTTGGCATTCCCGAAAGCCTCCAGCACAGGGTTTGCCTGGATGATTTGATCCTCCAGGGACCCCTGACCCAGAGAGAAACACAAGGTGTGATGGCCAGTCAGCTACTGCCTGGAGACCCAGGGGTTTCAAATGACAGTGGCTTATGTGCCAGGAGCCAGGAGGGGAACAGCCTTAGGGAGGCTGGGAAATCAGAACTGGAGGGGACCTGGGAGGAGGGCCATTCACTGCCTAATGACTGTTCCTATGCAGCCCTTGACATTGGAGGGGAACCTGGTAAATGATAGGCCTTGATTCTTAGCTATTATTTTCTCACTTTGCTCTTGGTAGAGAGACCCCCTTGGGAGCTGAACACCCTGGTCATCCCTGGTCTCTTTCTCAACCTTCCTTTTCTTTGTTGGCTTTTGACTGCTGCCACTGGCCCAGCTAATGCTCCCCCCACCTCTGAGTCACCAGGGTCTGCATATAAGACGTGGCCTGGGGCATAGAGTCCATCTTGTGGGAGGAGATCCGGGTTTGCAGCCACCTTCTCCCTGTGTGACCCCACTTAAGCTGCTTCTCTCTAAGCCTCAGTCTTCTAGTTTGTAAAATGGCCCTAACCCACAGAACAGCTGTGAGGGTTACACGGGCACTGCTGTGTGAGCCCAGAAACAGAGCAGGCTGGGGATGGCAGATCCGCGAGCCCTCCCAGTTGGCCCTACCTTCTTATCCGATGACTGTTTGCCAATTCCTCCGATATTGGCAAAGTACTGGATGACCTTCTTTGTGTTCTCAGTCTTGCCAGCACCAGATTCTCCACTGCAGGTAGAAAATGAGAGCAGTAAATGAAGCATGAAGAGGGGAATGGCCGCAGAAAAGTAGAGTAATAAGAAATGCAGGCCGAGCATGGTCACATTTCACTCTTCAGCTGAGACATATAGGTTTAGGGTGCTTGGGGACACGGAGGCTCCCTTTGGTTTAGTAGGTGCAGACTTACTCGTCCCGCCAAGCCCACTTGCTGCCTTCAGATTTCCATATAAGTTCCCACCAATCAATTTAAGAAGGCTTAATTACTAGTGTAAGATACAGATCTAATTAAATATATATAGACTGAGGGACAGAAGGGACACTTACGTGATTAGCATAGACTGATTTTCACGGTCTGCAGGGAAGAAAACATTACCGGAAGATGTAATTAGGAAATACTTAGAAACTAGACATTTGACATCACCCTCACCAACAGTCTGGTTCTCCCTGTATCTCACCCAACTTGGAGAGTAACTACAGCAGCCAGGGGTCCAAAATCCCAGGATCCTGTGGGGTCCAAGGTGATATACCTGCCTCTGCAGTGTGCATCTTTGCAAAAAGGGCCAAGAAGTGACCCCCTACCTGTATCTACCAGTTTCATCCCATAAAGCTACTTAGTCATTAGCAAAATAGAGAAGTGGTAATAAAAATCACTTCATGGGGCCTCTAAATTGTATGGCAGAGATCGTATAAGGAATGGTTAAATGCTGACTTGAGTTCTGGGCAAGTTACTTAACTTGGCACCCTGGTTTTTGTGATGCTTAAATGAAATAGGATGTGAGGTTGGGCTGGTACTTAGCAAGTGCCCAGTGCTCCTGATATTAATATCACATGCTGCTGCTACTCAACATTTAGCCAAGAACTTCAGCAGGTGGTGTGGGGTCCGGGCTGGTATTGGGTAACATGTGGTTCTAATGCATTTGGAGCTACAATGGCAAAGGAATTTCTGTCACCCACCAAGAGAGCCCCAGCAGGCCACACCCCACGCACCCATGAGCATGTCGTGGTAGGCATTGTCTGAGATGGAGAAGAGGTGGGGTGGCATCTCTGTGCGCTTCTTGCCTTTGTACATGTTGACCACTCGGACCCCGTAGATGGGCAGCCACTTGTAGGGGTTGACTGTCACACAGAACAAGCCCGAGTAGGTCTGGTGAGAGAGAAAGAAGATGGTTAGCTGGCCCTTCCTCCTGTTGTCCTTTTCCCTCCGTGCCCTAGCCTGTCACAGAGCAGTCTGGCTGGAGGTCACTGCCAACCTAGAGAGACATAATGATGTCTTATTTGGGGGCAAAATCTATGTCTGAGTCTTTACTCAGTGAGCAAAATAAGTCTTCTCTTTATATTTGTTTCATTTTCTTTTGGTTTAATTATTTGAACAGATAACATGGTCACTGTAGGAATAAATATGCATCAAAAAGTTCCCCCAACTGCTCAGTGCCCACCACCCATTCCTCCCACAGGTAACTGCTGTGGTACTTTCTAATACCCACTTCCATAGTTTCTGATGCATGTACAAACTAATCCAGACATACGTTCTTATGCCCCACCTGTTTTTACAACTGAAGATAGTAGTTTATAATACTGTTTTATATCTAGCTTTTCTTCTTAATATATCTGGGAGATTTTCCATGAGAGTTCACAGAGAGATTTCTGTGAGGTTTGAACAGCTGTGAAATCCTCACTGGGTGGCCATGATTCCCTACTGGTGGGCAGCTGGGTTTGATTTATTCTTAAGAAGAGGACACTAGCTTCTCTTTTTACCCCAATGCAATTCTGTAAAAAAATTAACTCATTTAAAAAATCAGAATAAGCAACGAAGTGGTAAAAGAAATTATCTAAGGGGGGAATAAGTGAGGACAGGAAATGGCCAAATCCATTGGTCCCCATCCACAGGTCCCAAATTTTCCTTTTTCCTTGCTGGATACTCATATTGATCAGTCACCTCTGTTCTGTGCCTCTTTTCAGTCCAACTTAAAACTTTCTACTTTGGTCCAAGTGGGAATAACCCTCACCCCAGGCCCTAGTTTCTCCATAGCATAGCTGTGATATGTTGAGTTTTTAAAGGAATCTTATTAAGAGTTGAGAGTATGATACACAGTCTCTCATTTTGGGATTCCAGCCATTGAATCACTCCCTCCAGCCCTGTCTCAGTGGACAGACAACAGCCTGGAAGGCAGTTATATCCCTGTTTCAGTCAGAATGAAAAGAAGAGGTCTCCCACCCTTGCAGGAGGGACATGAGAGGGAAGCAGTTGGGACTGTGGAGCTGAACCTGCCTGTCAGTTATTCATCTGACAGGAGACTCCTTGGCCTGGCTCCTCAGGCCACACTCCACAGATCCTGCAGTTGCTTAGTCACCCACAGGCAGAAAGGTTTTGGCTGCAGAGTGGCCCTGAGTAAGGCCCAGGCCTGAGCTTGGCAATCGAGCCCACATAGACATTTCAGCCCATACTCTAGGCTCAGCCAGGAGCGAATGTGGTCCTTTCCAGACCTGAGGTCCAATGATGACCAACTAGCCTCTAGGCCAGCAAATATCCTTAAAATATGCAGGCCCAGCAAATATCCCCAAGAGATTTCTAGAATCTTCTAGCACTGCCTGGGGCTATGGTGTTGTTGGGGGCCTGACTCTGGAACTAAAATAGTATCAAAGTAGGTTGAGGGGAAGAAGCATGCAGCAGCCATCTTGGCTATCGTAAATCACTAGAAATCCTCAGTGCCTTTGACCTTGAAGTCAGGCCCTATTTCATCTATTCCAACCAGATAAACACCTTTCTGTTATAGTAGACATCTAGAGAGGCAAACGCCAAAATTTCCTTGCATCCCCTGTTGAGTCCAGTCACCAGCACCTTCAGGAAATCATACTTCTGCCTTAGGATTTCCAAGGTGGTTGAGGGACTGATGGCAACTCAGTTTGCTCATCCTGGCATAGTGCTCAATGTTTGTTGAATGAATGGTTACATGGATGGATAGAAGGAAGAAAGAAAAAGAAGGGAGGCAAGGATAAGGGAAGCAAAGAAAGAGGGAGGGAAAGAAGGGAGGAGGGAGTAAGGATAAACCGATGGAAGGACAGGGAGGGACTTCTAATCAAGCCATATGAAATTGCTAGGGGGAAAATGATGTTTTGATTGGAGAGTTTGCAGGGATGGGTGGGGAGGAAGACTTCTGGATGACAGCTTCAGCAAAAGGTACTTTTTAGCTGCCCATGGAGATGGTGCCATCACTGAGATGTTAAATGCTTGAAATGGGAATTCTTACGTGTCAAAAACATGGTCCCTGTGACCTTGCCTTTGTTATAATGTGCATTGGTTGCTGGGGAAGGTAGAGTAGCTGCTCCTTCCATCAAGAGAAGGGCAGAAGATCTGCAGTACCCCTTTCCTCCTCACCCCCAGCCCTGGGCACTCACATAGATCCTCATATTGATGTAGCGCTGGCGCAGGTTGTCCAGGACACTGGCCTCATTCAAGAAAGTCATGTCCGCCATGTCGCTGGCTTGGTAGAATTTGGGTGGGTTCATCTGCTGGATATCATCCTTCTTTACGGTGAGAGTCTAGGGGGCGATGTCAAGACACAGCAATGCATGAATTAGGAAATAGTACTGTCACAGACACAGCAGCATCCAGCACAGGTTGCCACACACAATCTGGTGTCCTGGAAGGAGCTGGAGCCAGAAGTCTAGTGAGCTCAACTCCTGGTCCAACCATGTCCCACTGTGAGATTTGGGATGGGGAGGGACTTCTGAGGCCATATAAATCCTAACTCCCTCTCCTCTGATGGAGGGATGACAATAGCCTTCATGGCTGGTTTCTGGGAGAATTATATGAACTTAAGCGGGATTATGGAAAAATACCTTGTAAGCTATGAAATTCCCTCCCTAAGAGCTTCTCTGACCCAATTTTCTCTTCTCACCAAGTCCATCCTGTTAGCTGATCAGAGCTTTCGCAGTGATCTCAGGGACACTTTGTAGAGATGAGACTCTTAGCTCTCTGCCTTGGGAATTAGTGGTGGTTTCTAAATAGCAATGAACTTTTTCATTATATATAAAAAAAGACATTCCCCTGCTCTCACCAAACCACCTTGAAGGATAAAATTGAGAGCAGGCAAGCAAATAAGACAAAAAGGAGACAACAATGGGTGTTGGGCAGTAGATGTGTTAGTAGGATGAAAATAGTGCAGCATTAAGAGTCCGGAGCTCCTGTGCATGGCTAGCAAATCCTGTCCCCCTTCTGTACCCCATTTTTCATCTGTAAATGTAAACTAGCACCAGCTCTTTAATTTTCATCATCTGGGACCGAAGCTTAAGACATGTGATCCAGAAAACGAATATCTTTGAGCTGCCTGCAGCCTGGGATGTGAGGACTGAACACACACTAATACATACTGGGATTTCTGGAACTTTTAGAAATTTATGAGTCCAATAGGCAGATAATTTGAAATCTTGACAGTTCTGGAAAATCCACCCAGTAATGGCCACCACACCTTTAGTAAATCAGGCTGGGTTTTATTCAGAGTCCATTTCCAATAGTGTCCAGATCTCTGGGCATTGCCCATGGACAAACACTTCTCTCTCAGCTCCAGCAGAGGGATGGAGGTCTTTGCTTTTATCTCAGGAGCTAGGTGAATCTGTCTTTTGTGTCCCAAACCTGGCTGGATGGTGCGTTCATTTCGGATGCTCATGGCAGTTAAGTGTTGTTCTTAAATAAGTATCGTATTTGAATTTCATCTAAACTGGGACCTCTGGGGCTCTGCTCTCATTGTCTATCATTTCTTGCAACACTGAAATGCGCTGCCCTTTTAAAAAATATGTTTATCCTGAGAATGCAGCTTGATTTTCATGTTCAAACCCACTTTAATCCAGCTATAGCCTTAATCCAGCTATAGCTTTAGTCCAGCTAAAATCCATCTCTCTCCTGCCACTCCCCTCAAAGGGTGTGCATGTGTGCAAAGTAAAGCTTAGCTGTTGCAAGTTCTGATCATGGAAAGGATCAATCTCACACTCCCCCTTTGTAGCCCACCAAGGACAGATGGTGTGGTGATGTACAGGGGGCATGCGCATTTGAGCCAGACACAGCTGGGTTTGAATCTGAGTTTATCATTGTGACTGTGGGCAAGTGACCTAAAGTCACTTTGATCTTGCTGCAAGATGGGGTCAGTAAGTCCTGCTCCTACTACACAAGGTTGTTGAAAGTATTAAATAAAATGTCCAGTGCCCTGCTAGGAGTTTGCAATAGGATAGGGGTTTAATAAACCAAATTTTCTATCCACTTTCTCAAGTTACCTCTCATAGTAAGAGAGTGTGGACTAGCAGAGATAGTGGTGTGTTGATAAACTATCTGTATGGAAAAGAAAATAAAATCCCTGATTTATACCGCTTTTCAATTCCCACGGTATAAATATTTCTACCATGGCTGACATTAAGCTGCCAAAGTTTTAATAATTGGCTGCAAAACTCCTGAATGTTTAGTGTTGTGTTTATGCAAGCCAAGATACCACTACTATGCAGCAAGGGGCTTGGGAGCCACCATCTGTTGCTAATAAAGCTGAAGTGCTCACCCATGTTGGCCAGAGTATCCTGGGCCCTGTCTCGCATTCCTCATGCCATCGTAGGCACATAGTGCAACTGCCGATGGGTGGGATGCTCACTCTCACCCTTAGAAAACAGATTCCACATGAGAACTGTTTGGGACTTTAAAGATGAGTAACTCTCATGATAAGCTCTTACACACATGTACTGTTTTAGAGAATACAAAGTACTTTCGTATGTCCTATTAAGTTGGAATCTTTATTGTGAAAGAGCCAAAGCTCAGAGAGAGGAAGTATCTTTCCCAGGGCCACACAGCTTGAGGGCTATTGAGTCTGAACTTGATCCCAGCATACGGGATCTGCTCTTCTGGCCACCCTGCCTCTTGAGCAGAAACACAGACAACAGACCCTGGGTGTTTGCTGCTCTCAAAGCTTGGTTTCATCCTGGAGATTACTCCACACTTACCTGGTTGGTGATCGTCTTCACAGTGACTTGATCACCCTGTTCAGACTGGATCTCCCCAGCAACAAAGCCTTCCTTCTCGTCTTTGACCCAACAGGACTTCTTGATGTCATAGGGCTTGTTCATGGCTTCGATCCTCTCCTTTTCAAGAGGTGCCAGAAAGGGCATTGGGTCCACATCGTCCCCGCATTCACCTTTGTATCCACCAGGCATTGCGGCTTAGCTGAGGGAGGAACAGGAAGGAACCGAGGGTAGGAACCAGGACTTCTGCGGGTGCTGTAGAGGAAAGCAAGGATAGTTGGCCAAGACTGATGTATGGGCTGGGGCAAATGTCCTGAGAGAGACAGGGGGTTGCTTTTCTTGTGTCACTTTGGATGTTTAGGTGCCATTAGGTCTTAATAACCTAGAATAAGAATAAGCTAATAACTCCTCAGAGTTGTACACCCCCTACCAACTACAAAACTCTTTTGTTGTCTCGTATGTCCCTCACACTAAGGCTGTGAGGTAGGGATTGGAAAGATCATTTTATGGAAGAGAAGATGAGGGCCAAGAAGGTTAAAGCAAGAACTTTTAACGATGAAATGGGTTGGGAAAACAACAACCACTTGGCTTCCACTTTCCCTTTCCCTGAAGGTATGGACAGAGGCCACAAGTCACAGTAGTACCAGAACTGCTATGACTTGTGCCTAACAGAAATCACAGCTATTCTCCTTTTATATTAGTGTGGTTTCAGATATTTCAAAATACTGGTTATCCCTGTCTTAATTTTGAAATTATGGTCTTATTAGACCCTCATTTAGATGTTGTTATTTAAATCTACTAACAAGAAGTATACTTTTAATTACTATACCACAGATTGATTTTTTAAGATTTTGATAATTGTATTTAAGTACCATTGGTTTCCTTTGTAACCCTATATAGTTTATTTTATGCATTTAAAAATACTAATCTGAGCAGAGGTCCACAGGCTTTACCAGGTGCTAAGTGAGTCCTGGGCACAGAACAAATGCCCAGGTTCAGTGGTTACCTCTCTTGAGATGAAGTCAGCCTGAAGTCAGTCTTGAGTCTCTTGGTTTTCAAACCCAGATGATTTCACCAAACTACCAGGAAGGAGAAGAGCTGGGATCTCATGGGAGCAAAGAGAGAAGTCAGGGGCATCCCAGTTTGTCTTGAGAGTGAAGAAACTTCTTGAAGTTTTGGGGATGATGTGATTCTGAGCCCCTTTGCCAGCAGTGCTATTCTTGAGGCCAAGAGTCCAGCTTCCACCTTTAACTAACCCAAATGGAGATGGAGCGTCTCACTACTGTGCCTGGGGCCCCTGCTACACCCAGCTGTCCTTGAGAAAGCACCTGCTTTTCCTGCGAGGGGGTCTGGTGTTTCCAAAAGAGGCTGAGCCAGGACAGGCAAGCAGATGGAGGCAAAGCCAGATACTTTGCCAGATACTCTTCTTATCTCTCTGTGGAATTTGGCTGAGAGAGTTCTGGCTGGAGCCTTGGTTCTCTAAGCTTAGAGCTAGTCCATTTCACAGAAAATACGAATTAGAGGAAGACAGTAGGGGTCCTGTGCCATCTGGTGATGTCTGGAGTCCCATTGGACAAAATGTTTTAAATTCAGGCAATAAAGTATATAGGGTCACCAAGAAAACAGATGACACTAAAATATAATTAACAAAATATTAAATACGCACGATATGGTAATACATCTTCTTTACAAACACATCACATAATATAACCTAATGGCAGGTCTCATAACCACTGTTTTGACGTAACAGTGAGAATCAACAATCTTTTGAGTTCTCTGCAACAATTGTAATATCCTATGAAAATAACGGTGGCTTCCATTGTTAACAAAGTCACAGTTATTGCTAATATGACTGTGATTTGTTGCCTGTCTTAAGAAGAGGAGGAGATTGTACATTTCAAGTTAGAGGCAGTGAAAATCATGATGGGATTTTTTTCCCACCAAAGATCCCAGAGCCCAGGGTAAGAACCTTGCCTATCCCTCCTGAGACCTATCACTGAGGAGCACTGGGCTGAGAGTCTTTGGTTTCTGCTGAAAGCTTCTAGCAATCTTTATCCAGCATCCGGGAGAATCATGTCTCACTCAACTCTGCCTCAAGTCACCTTGAGCAGCCCAGTGGCCTCCTTGGGCTTCCCTCACTCCCTGTATGAAGATGTGATTGCTCAACATAAACTTCTTGTTGTCCCTGCTGGCTCCATTGCATTGTCTTTTTGCTGTCTCATTTTCCTGGTCTGTTTAACATAAATGGAAGTCACCAGGGAGATGAGACCAAATCCACATGAAAAGAAAATGCAGGTATCAGCTAGGTCAGATTAAAATGCATTACACTTGTCATTAAAACAACTGCTTCTGAGGGCTAGGTTCCTTTTTAATTGTTCTAACAGGGAAAGGAAAGGTCAGAAATTCTTCTTTGTTTATTCCAGTTAGGCTGTTTGTATTTTTTCAATGATGGTTTTGCTGTGAACCACAAGCTAAGGTGTCACTGCATTTGTCCTGGCCTGGTGGCCTGAGGCACACACCCTTGGGACCAGGCACTGTCCCAAGGGCTATATAGGCCTCTGACACCAGATTCCAGTCCTTCCAGTAGCTACCAGCCTCCTTCTCAGTTATGACCTTAACTCAGCCACTTAAATCTAGTCATTCTTGTCCTCCCAGGAAAACAGCTTTTTCTGGGCTTCTCTGATAACCAAGATCCATTTTTAAAAGTCATGAACCACAAAACATAACTCACACAACACAAAACATTGCTCATGGAATACAAAAGCTTAAAGAGTCCCTAGGGACTCTTTACAAAGTATAGGAAAGGCAGGGCTGGGATTGAACCCAGCGTGAATCCAGAACCCCTTCTATCCCCTTGTGGAAGGCTAGTGGTACAGTGAAGTGAGGCTGATCTGGGTTTGAATCCCAACTGCTCCTGCCTCATTGTGGAATGCAGCTCGAGTTCTGTAGGTTGAGGTCCCTTGGAACATTAAATGACAGGCCCACTCTGCAGCCCTAGGTCAGGCAGGTGCTCAAGAAATGCTTATCCCTTGCTCTCCCTTGATCGTTTCTCATCATTTCATCTACTTTCCTCAGATGGCTCCTCCACGAACCCCTCTCCCCATTTCCCATCTCCCCCAGCATCCCTTATGGTACCCACCTGAGGCCACTCTGGGAGAGACTGGGTGCCCAGCAGAGGCTGGCCCTTTCTTTTTATACCTGCCCCACAGATCTGAGCCAGCAAAACCTTAAAAAAGAAAAGAATCCCTTAGGGCTCCAGTGGCTCATCTGGCCTCGCCTTCCAGGGCCTGACTGGTAGCTCCCGGGTCCCTCAGGGGGGATCAGTGAATGTCCTAATTCTAGGACATTTGCTTTCCTCCCATTGTCCCTGTGGGGAAACTGATGACCTCAGCCCAGAGTTGCAGGCTGTGGGCAGAAATAGAACAGCTGGCTAATGAGTTTTCCTCTTAAAGTTGTAACTGCACCCATGAAGGGGGCTGACTCTCAAGGAGGAGGACCTGGGTTGACTCCTCTAAGGTCTTTGGCATGGATGAGTCCAGATTGCCAGTGGGTTCATGATTTTGTCCCTTTCACATGCTCAGGCTAGAAGGCCTTTGTGAGTTTTGACTTCACTCATCTAATCACAGCCATGGGCCCCCTCCAACCCACCATGGCCAGCAGAGGCCATGTGGCACCATGGTGCAGTGCCAACTCTGAGTTCTAAAGCCAGCTTTGAGATTGAAATGCTTCCCATGCATTTCGTGGCCTTGAGCAAGTCCTTGACCTCTCTGGGCTTGCCTTTCCTATCTGTAAACTGGGATGAATATACTCTAAAAGTCCTTTGTGCTCTTCTCAAGCTCAGAGATGGCTTCTGAGTCTGGAGGGAGAAATTGCTTGGGGGACTTTCTTTCTGGCATCTGCCATCTCTCCTATTTCTACTCCTAGTTTCCTAATTCGCTTTTTTTTTAATTGAGAAAAAAATTAACAAAACATAAAATTAATCATTTTAAGCAAATGACTCAATGGCGTTAATATATTCACAATGTTGTGCAACTACCACTTCTATCTAGTTTCAAAACATTTCATCAGTCCAAAATGAAAACTAGTACTTGTTAAATAGTTTCTCCAATAGCCCCTGGCAACCAATAATCTTTGTCTCTGTGGTTTTACCTATTCTAGGTATTTCATATGAATGGAACCATACAATATATGACCTTTTGTGCCTGGCTTTTTCCATTTAGTATGTTTCTAAAGTTCATCTATGTTGCAGCATGTAGCAGCCCTTCATATCTTTTTATGGCTGAATAATATTCTACTGTATGTATGTACCACAATTTCTTTATCGATTCATCCATTGATGAACATTTGGATTGATCTCACCTTTTAGCTATTGTGAATAGTGCTGCTGTGGACATACGTGTACATGTATTTGTTTGAGCACCTACTTTCGATTCTTTTGGATATCTACCTAGGAATAGAATTGCTGGATCATTTGGTAATTCTATGTTTAGGTTTTTGGGAAGCCATCAAACTGTTTTTGACAGCAGCGTTACATTCTCTCCAGCAATTTACAATTCCAGTTTCTTTATATCCTCACTAGTACTTGCTATTTTTCATTTATTTAATTATGGCCATTCCAGTGGGTGTGAAGTGGTATCTCACTGTGGTTTTATTTAAATTTCCCTAATGATTGATGATGTTGAGCATTTTTTTAGTGCTTGTTGATCATATGCATATCTTTGGAAAAATGTCTTTTCAAGTCCTTTGCCCATTTTTAATTGGGTTGTTTGTCTTTCTATTGTTGAGCCGTAAGAGTTTGTCGTATATCTTAGATAATATATAATTTTATCAAATATATAATTTGCAAATATTTTTCCCATTCTGTAAGCTCTTTCAGTTTCTTAATAATGTCCTTTGATGCACAAAAGTTAATTTTAATGAAGTCCAATTTATCAACATTTTTCTTTTTTTCCTGTACTTTTGGTGTCATATTTTAGAAACCACTACCAAATTCAGGGTCATGAAGATTTACCCTTGTATTTTCTTCTAAGAGTTGTATGGTTTTGGCTTCTATATTCAGGTTATAGAGGACTCAATTCACTCTTAAAGGAAAAAGGAACGCACCTGAGCTGATTTCTTTCTTGTCTCTCTGGGGTTGGGCCTGGGACGCGGCTACTTTACACCCAAAGAACCTTTGATTTGTCACATATTAA